CAAATACTTAAAATAAAAAACAAATAAAAAAGCATTAAAAATCAAAAAATAGTTTACATATCGCCTGAAGTGATAAAGCACGATAAACCTCACCCTCTTTTTTTTGATAAGTACCCCCCCCCCCTGGGCTCACACAATCACACACAGCACACGTATTACATGATATGAACACATAACCATGATCCCCGGGGAGAGATAAGAATAGAGTGTTGTGTAAGATGCTTGGGTCTCAGATGAATAATGCATACTATATGACGCTCATCCTAACCTCAGTGGAAAACCTATATACGCCATTGTAATTCGTCTCGGAGTAATAGCCAACGTACAGGTACATATTCGCCGGGTGCAATTATACTATTGTTGTAAAATACATCAAATTTTTGAATACCTGGTCATTCCTGATCATCCATACACCTTGTTCAGGTAAGTCTGTTATCTCTGCATTTCTATATCCAAAGCATAGGACACTGTATATATGTGGTGGTGTAATATATAGCGTATCAAGAGAGAGAAAAGGGAGAAGAGAGAGAAGAGAGAGAGAGGAGAGAGAGAGAGAGAGAGAGAGAGAGAGAGAGAGAGAGAGAGAGAGAGAGAGAGAGAGAGAGAGAGAGAGAAGAGGGAGAGAGAGGGAGAGAGAAGAGGAGAGAGGGAGAGAGAGGAGAGAGGGAGAGGAGGAGGAGAGGGGAGAGGAAGAAGGAGAAGAGAAGAGAGAAGAGAGAAAAGAAAGACAGGTGAAGAGAAGAGAGGAGAGGAGAAGAGAGAGAGGAGAGGAGAGGAGAGGAGAAAGAGGGGAGAAGATAAGAGAGGTTGAGGAGAGGAGAGGGAGAAAGAGAGGAGGGAGGGGGAGGAGGAGGAGGAGGGAGGAAGGAAGAGAGGAAAGAGGAGGGAGGGGAGGGAGGGAGGAAGAGAGGGGAGGGAGGGGAAGGGAGGAAGAGAGGGGAGGGAGGGAGGAAGAGAGGGGGGGGAGGGAGGAAGAGAGGGAGGGGAGGGAGGAAGAGAGGGAGGGGGAGGAGAGGAAGAGAGGGAAGGGGGAGGGAGGAAGAAGAGGAGAGAGAGGAGGGAGAAGAGAGGGAGGAGGAGAGAGGAGGAGAGAGAAGAAGAGAGAGAGGAGAGAGAGAGAGAGAGAGAGAGAGAGAGAGAGAGAGAGAGAGAGAGAGAGAGAGAGAGAGAGAGAGAGAGAGAGAGAGAGAGAGAGAGAGAGAGAGAGAGAGAGAGAAAGAGAGAGAGGAGAAGAGAAAGAAGAAAGAGACAGAGAGAGAAGAGAGAGAAAGAGAGAGAGAGAGAGAGAGAGAGAGAGAGAGAGAGAGAGAGAGAGAGAGAGAGAGAGAGAGAAGAGAGAGAGAGAGAGAGAGAGAGAGAGAGAGAGAGAGAGAGAGAGAGAGAGAGAGAGAGAGAGAGAGAGAGAGAGAGAAAGAGAGAGAGAGAGAAGAGAGAGAGAGAGAGAGAGAGAAGAGAGAAGAGAGAGAGAGAGAGAGAGAGAGAGAGAGAGAGAGAGAGAGAGAGAGAGAGAGAGAGAGAGAGAGAGGAGAGAGAAGAGAGAGACTTTACCTTCCTTACCCATTCCCCAGCCCTCCAAACCTGCCCCAATATTCCGTACCTTGCCACTGAGGTTCCAAACCCCAACCGGCATTCCTTTGTCTTAACCCACCGGTCTCTTCTTGCCTAAAACTTCCATCTATTCCAATTTTTTGGTTCCTCTTCCTACAGCAAAAATATCGAGCAAATGTATCCCTTCCTCTGTACTGTATACTAAAACAAATATCATGAAGTCGAAGCCATGCGTCGTCGCATTCGGATACATTCATCCGAGAGATGGAGGGCAATTCCTAATCGATGCCTAGGATTTGGAGGCACGCACATGAAGCCCACGGTTCCAAAATGTCGGTCTGGAGTTGCATGAGTTGCACGGATCCCGTTTTTCAAGTCAGATACCACCGGAGCAAGTCTCCTCTCTGGGAGAAAACTGCCCGACGTTGCTTCCCATCTCTCTTTTGGATTCGCTTCCTCCCTTTACCTCTTTTCTTTGAATTATTCGTAATGCCATACTCGCCTTCCAAATTGCTGATTACGTAAGTGCTCCCGTTTCCATCACTCCTCGCACCCTCAGCTTCCTTTGTTCACTGAGCATTCTGAGACACGTTCGTTTCCCTCTTCTCGTCCCTCTCCTGGACATCATCTTTCCCATCTCCGTTCCACAATTTGATAAGCATTTCAGGCCTACACTTAGATATGGCATCTTTTTATTTCTATGAGGAGAGGAGAAGGACGAAGGTAAACACAGTGCGCCACAACACGAAGCCAGGACTGCAATCAGTTTGTCAACGGAGTAGCAATTACGTGTAGTTTACGAATGTGCAACGATGCGTCTGTTCCTAAGGTTGACAAGACGTGGTAAACAGTAATACATCGATTTCACATTTGGGAAAATCCGAGACGAAGTGACAAGGCAACATATCTTACTCTTGTCATTATGATTACTCAGTGACTAAGATGCAATAAGCAGATCAAGATATTTCCGGGTCATTATATGTCCGTTTAAGCGAACATCACCGTCTAACCATTGCTTAGCTGTGTGGATAGTGAGAATGGATTTCACAAGGCGCTTGAGCAGTTTGTTTCATTTTTATACTCATTCTCACATGAGGTTTTGAGATAATACTAACGGTATTTAAAAAACACGGCAAACTCATACTCCGTATATCTTCAATGTCTGATAAAAATAATTTTAGGTCTCATAAAAGTCTCTCAGTTT